GACACACACGGACTTGGCTAGATCGTCTTAGAATTTTACCCTGATTAAGAATATATATATACTTAATAGGGTCGGAAATGAATATTTCGATGAGTTACAAACGGAATGACAAAATTAATATACCCTCCATACTACGGTGGAGGGTATAATTAACACATAAAGCTCTGATCGACCCTCATCAAATATTTTTAAAAAATCCAAGCTTATGGATCTTATACCCTTTGTAAAACGTAATCTACGCATGGTTTTTAATAATTCCATTGAAATATTAATGAAAAATTTAAAACATTTTATTAAAAATACCCATGACACTAATAGTCCCTCAAAAATGTTTATTATTACACTACGGACGCCATAACGCTGGCTCAGAAAATCCCCCTATCACAACAATTTAAAAAAATCTACGTATATTGCCCTAAAAGCTCTCCAAAATAGTCCTTCAAAAATATTTTATAAAATGTAGTCTGATGGTCCCTAAAAATAACCTAAAAAAAAAAATAGAATTTATTAAACCGAGACTCTCTTAAAATACTTTTAAAAAATCAGGTTTATTAAATTGAGAGAGAGTATATCTCTCATCCAAATATCCTTTATATTGAGAGAGAGTATAGCTCTCATCCAAATATCCTTTAAAACTCATAGTCTCTCAAAAAAATATATTAATTTAAATAGTTATATTGAAAACATTTCAAAATTTATTTTTAAACTGATTGGGCAAAAATGATTTTTATAATATCAGGTGAATGGACCATCGTATTTGAACCAAACTTTGCAAAACCTATTATTATGTTTATGAAACCTAGATCTAGTTCGAAGATTTGACCCATTGGTCCCCTCCTTCTGGTACCTCTCCCACAAAAGGTCAAAATTTACAATATTTATAAATCCAATATCAGTGAATGGACTGTCCGATTTTAACTAAATTTTACACAACCGATTTACCAAGTCTAAAACAAGTCTGAAGATGGGACCTATTGGGTCACTCCTAGTATCTCCCCCACAAAAGGTCAAAATTTTTAATATTTATAAATCCAATATCAGGCGAATGGAATGTCCGATTTGCATAACATATTATCTTTACCAAGCCTACCTCAAGTCCGAAGTTGGTACCTATTGGTAAATTTCATTGAACCAATCCATTGAATCAACATTACATCCGAAACCTCTTTGATAAAAATATATATCTTTGGCTGAGGGTATATATCTGAATCTTTACCCCTTCACCACAGTGTGGTACGGGGCATTATGTATTTGTGTATATGTTTGTAACAGACAAAAGGAAACGAGATAGATACATGTCTTCTTTAGAGAATATGCAAAGAATCACTTTCTAAGTCGATTTATGTATGTCCGTCCGTCTGTCCATGTTATTGTAAACAAAGTACAGGTCGCATTTTTGGTTCGAATTGGATGAAATTTGGCACAGCTCACTTATTTGGCCCAAGGACGAACCCTATTGAAATTGGGAAAAATCGATTCAGATATAGATCCCATATATCTTTTCGTCCGATTTAAGGTAAATGGTGCACCAAAGTAACTATATATCTTTTCATTTGCACGAAATTTGGCACAGTGTACTAAATTAGGTCTACAGTAATGTGTGTGTTAAATTTCGTGAAAATCGGCTCAGATTTAGATAGATATATTTTCGTCCGATTTTAGGTAAATAATGCACCAAAATCCCTTTATTTCATTCGATTTGCACGAGATTTGGCTTAACGTACTGAATTCAGTCTGGAATGAAGGGTGGTGAGTTTCGGGAAAATCGATTCAAATTTCGATATACCTCCCATATATTTTTTCGTCCGATTTTATGTAAATGGTACACCAAAATCTCTATATATCCTTCGATTTGCACGAAATTTGGTATAGCATACTGAATAAACCTCAGAACAATGTGTGTTAAGTTTCGTGAAAATCGGTTCAGATGTATACATCTAGGATTCGGTATTATTTATACATTATAAATATTACTACGGACATCGAACCGTTCAAGAATAGTGGTTAATTCAAAATTACCTTGAATAGGAAGGTGCTTGGATTTTTTTCAGAAAAGTGTATTTATCATAAATCAGGTATTATATTGGCTACATCTGTTTTTTATCGGACAGAGAACTTCAAGAACTTTTAGGAGTGGTAGTTAATTCAAGGAAAGTATACATACCTTGAACCTGGTATTTTTTAGTATATATTTGGTTTCTCTATTGGAATGAGGACACCATCTGCAAGGACGAACCTTACACCAGTTTGAGATATATATCTCCCATATACTTTTATCAGATTTCTTGAAAATTGTGTATCTACAAATAATGCTAAATATAATAGGTTCTCTCTATTAGAAAGTACCACATTTCCGTTTTAGACAGCGGTTGTCAGTTGTATATGAATGTGTAATTTTTCATCCATGGGATCTAAATGCCCAGGAATTTCTTCTTGAGATTTTTTTGGTTCGAGCACCGTTCGGACAAAACTTTAAACCTTGGTACCGTTCGGTATGCCACAACATCAAAAACCACAGCTCAGCATAGTTGCGGGTATAGGGGCTAGTACGTTTCAGCCAGATTGCAAGATCTCAGTAAAAGAGATTACTTTTCCCCATGCTGCTTAAAGAAAATCTCCACCGAGTATCTGCCTACTACGTCGTCTTCTTCGTCCGAATACGGAACGCAATATCCTAATCTCCAGTATTAAACGTCATTCGTTACTGTGTCTACTCTAGAATATGCATTATTTATGCAATGGGCTTGGAGGGAAAATATATGAGATAGTGGACTTCAAAAATCGGATGCTGTACGAGTAGCAAAGCAAATTCCAAGTCATAGATAGTTAATGGTAGCGCTGGATCTATGAAATACTTTCATACACTTCTCTCAGGCCATGTTCTACACAGTGTTTCGACATAATAAGTTCAAATCCCGTAGAGTGATGTAATTAGAGTAATTCCGAAATTTCGGGTTTTGAAGGTTTTAACCGCATTTTCCCAGCGAAGTAATCTTAATTTGACATTACGGGATTTAAAAGTGTAAAACCGTCCTATTTAAAATACCACGTTCCAAGATGTTGTTTTCAACTTGGTCTTTCCATCTAATTAGTGGTCTTCCCCTTCTGCGTGAACCATCGGTCGGCTCGCTTTTATGTGCCTTTGGGGTAGAGCTGGGGTATTCTCATTCATTCGCACAACATGGCCTAGACATGGCCTAGACTATGTGGATGTCCGCGTATAGATTTAAAGCTCGTGGTTCATTTGACCGTCCAGGCAGATCGGCCCGTAGATCTTTCGGAGAATTTTTCTCTCAAACAACCCAAAAAGCTGCCTCATCTGCTTGCGCAAGTACCCATGCTTCAGTTATATAAAGTCGTTAACTGCCACGAAGATGTAGTTCTCAACTGTGGCCGAGTCTACTGGACGTCTTGCGCGTTGATACCATCAGCTTGGTCTTCACGCCGTTTACTGTCAGACTCCTTCACAATTTGTTCAAAGGTGGATGTTACCGCTCGCAATGTTCGACCCATTATATCGATGTCTTCGGCCTATGTACAGAGTGTCATTTCTGTTCACATTTGCCTCACGTATGATCTTTTCAAGCAGGATGTTGAACAGGTCACACGACAAACTGTAACCTTGTCTGAATCCTCGTTCGGTATTGGAGAGGTCCTTTCCTGATTTAACTGCTGACATTTTACCAGTAAAAGTTATCCTGCATATCCGTATTAATTTTGCAGGAATCCCAAACGCAGACATTAAATACCTCTGAACGGATAGGGCTGTCGAATGCGGCTTATAGTCGACGAATAGGTGGAAAGTGTCGATGCGTTTTTAGCGGGTTTTTTCCAGGATTTGGCGCAGAGTGAAAATCTGGTCAATGGTGGATTTGCCAGGCCTGAAGCCACATTGGGCAAACTGGAAAAGACCCACGAAAAACACATCGACACATACCACCTATTTGTCGACTATAAAGCCGCATTCGACGGCCCTATCCGAGGTATTTAAAGTCATGTCTGCGTTCGGCATTCCTGCAAAATTAATACCGCTATGTATAATAACTTTATGTGGCACAAGGTCAGCAGTTAAAGTAGGAAAGGACCTATCGGATCCCTTCAATACCGAATGAGGATTCAGACAAGGTGACAGTTTGTCGTGTGATCTTTTTAACATCCTACTGGAAAGCGTCATACGAGAAGCAAAGGTGAACAGAAATGGCACTCTGTACACCAAACAACACATGTTACTCGCCTACGCCGATGACATCGATATAATGGGTCGAACATTGCGAGCGGTAACAGCCACCTTTGAACAAATTGAAAAGGAGTCTGCCAAAGTGGGTCTGGCAGTAAACGGCGAGAAAACCAAGCTGATGGTATCAACGCGCAAGACGTTCAGTAGACTCGGACCAACTGTGGAACTTGAGAACTACAGCTTCGAGGTAGTTAAAGACTTTATATACCTTGGTACCGGCATAAATAAAACGAATGACATCAGTTTTGAAATTCGGAGAAGGATTGTGATGGCCAACAGATGCTACTATGGTCTAAGTAAGCAGTTTAGAAACAAGGCCACCTCCCGCCAGACCAAACTCACACTTTACAAGACGCTGATATTACCCGTGCTATTATATGGATCAGAAGCATGGGTACTTGCGCAAGCAGATGAGGCAGCTCTTGGGGTGTTTGAGAGAAAAATTATCCGAAAGATCTACGGGCTGATCTGCGTCGACGGTTAATATCGGCGTCGAATGAACCACGAGCTTTACAATTTATACGCGGACATCGACATAGACGTATTGAGCTGCAGCGACTACGGTGGCTAGGCCATGTTGTGCGGATGAATGAAAATGCCCCAGCTCAAAAGGCATATAAAAATGAGCCTACTGATGGTCCCGTAGAAGGGGAAGGCCACGAATTAGATGGAAAGACCAAGTAGAAAACATAAAGGAATTACAAATTTCAATATTTTTTTTATTTTAAAAAAGTTTTTTTTTTTCAATATTTGATGTACAAAATTAATATCTCAAATAAGATATAACAACAATCATAATCGTTAAAATTGGCAAAGAATTTGTAATAGCGGCAGCAGCACCATTTCTTTGCTCCAAGTATTGGAAAAGGCTAGCCAAATATTTCGAAGACCAAGCGAGATTTTTCTCAACAGTTTCAACAGAGTTTTCCAAAACATTGATGTCTTCACCAAACAGATGACCTTTTGTCCCAATAAATTCAGTCAATTCCTTTAATTGATCCTCGGTGGTGAAATAATTGGCCACGTCACTGACAACAGTGGCGGTGTTATACCAGCTACCCAAACTGAAAGCAAAGAAAAAAATAATTATTTCCGAATTAAAAAATGGGATTTGAAAAATCTTACGCATTTGTTAAGACCTCCAGTGTGTTATTGATGAGTTGGAAGACGGGATCAACATTTTCCGGTGTTTGTTTATACAAACTGCTAATGGCCGATCTCTTCATTGATTGAGGCACCTCATTGCTTAATATGAAGTTATAATGGTTGTCCACAACATGGAGTGTACAACCCATGGCATGCAGCAATTTCTGTTTTTGACTTTGTAGCTCCATTTTAATAAATTCCGTTTTGAGGGTATTATAAATATCAATTGAACCCTTACGATTTGCGGCACAATAGAGAGTTTCCTGGAAATCGGCAGGAATTAATTTTGGTTGCGTGGATTTGAAAACTTTTTGAGCCATTTCATTACAATCTTCGTGGTGATATCTACATAGCCAGGAGATAACCTTATTGCGATTGTAAACATCTAAAACCCGATCTCCAGGATTTTCAAAACCCAATTTCTTATAGACCCCCGACATAATGTCAAATAAAAATTCACCAAATTGTTTGTGCTGCTCCAAAGTTAAACGCGGACTTATTAAATCGAAAGCCTTAAAGGCAGGCTGCCATGGCAAATATTCGGTTTCACCACTCAAATATTCAATGAATTTAAACACCTCACCATAATTCATAATTTCCAAACGTGCATAGGTGAATAGATCATCCAGCAGATAGGCTCGATTTATAACATGCACCCCACTGTGTTTGGGCGCCATTAACGCCTTTCTTATTTTCTCCAAAAGTTCGGCTTTATAGTAGACTCTATGGAAATTCGATTGCTGTAAATTCAATACGATCCATTCATCTTTATCGGAATTTCCAAATTCCATTTCAGTTTTAGTTCTGTTGAAATAGAATTTCGGTTGAAGATTTTCGAAATTATTTTCCCGATTGGTGGCATAAGTGATGGGTATGGTATAGAGTAGAGATTTATCACTACCATCCTCTGGATTATTTAGAAAACGTTTTTGTTTGATTAAATAGTGACCCGATTCTGTGGTGGATATTTCGATAATAGGGTAACCGGGTTGCTCCGTCCAATCACTGAATAATTGATCTAAATCGACTTCCTGATTTTTGGGCCAATGACGTTTCCATTGTTTGAATAAATCATCCGGTTCGGCACTGTTGTGGTGACTGAAAGAGAGAAAAATAAAGGGAAATAATGTAATTTTTTATAGAGTAAAGTCTACAAAAATTACTTTTAGATCTTCTAAAAAACATCCCTTCAGTTTCATTAGGTTAAGTTGAAAAGAGAGGTGATCAACTCTACAACATGTCCGGCTAGGAAAAAGTATCTGTCTCTAAAAGGCAGGTCGGCCGACTGCTTGTCGGTAGCACTTGAGGTGTAGTCAAGAAACTCTGTTAGGCGAATATTCATATTACTCCATGGAAATACATTCAGACCTGTCAGAACGGCGTCCTGAGGGTGCCTACTCTTGTCACACACCGGTGTACCATTTCTATGATGAGGCCTCAGCATAGCCTCTTGTTAGTTCCCTTTAAAAAAACCACATCCAGCCTCCAAAAAAGGAGTCCCTAAAAATACTATGTTCTGCTAGTTCGTCTAAAAAAACTCCCAAAATTCCAGATCATATAAATCGTCTCTAAATAATTCCTAAACTTTAGTTTGCCTTTGACATGTCCTTGGTTATCAGCTCTAAATCTTCAGCTTGAATATAACATCTCCCTATAAAGAATCTGAGGACCTTAGATCGTATATAAGAAGTGCTAGTTATTCAGTTCGTCAATGAAGACTTCCAGAATATCAGTTCGGTAACTAAGACTTTCTGGTCTCTCGTTCGTCTCAAAAGACCCCCTGGCCTTCAAAGACTCCCTTCTGTTCGTCTACAAAGGCCTCTCTGGTTGTTACCGTGACAATCAGATGGTTTAAAAAAACTACGTGACCTCAGTTCCCCTATAAACATTATCTGAATATATGTTATATAAACACTTCTGAATTCAGGTCCTTTCCAAAGATTTTCTTTAAAGACTAACTTTTCTCCAGCTCGTCTAAATAGATTCCCTGGCCGTTTACTTATATGAAAGATCTGCCAGGAGTTCAGCTCTACCATAGTGACTCTCAGACATCTCTCTTCTTTAGGTCTTCAGCTCTCCTATAAACACCTACGAGTCCTTCAGCTCGCCTACAAAGCAGGCTACAAAGACTACCTGTCTAGCCTTCATCTTATCTGTAAAGACTGCTAGGACTTCAGGTCTTATATAAAGACTCTCTGTCCTTCAGCTAGCCTATAAGACTCAGTGGCATTTATAACTATTCTATTAAGACTCTCAGGCCTTCAGCTTGTTTAAATTATAAAAACTTCGTGGCTTTAATTTCTACCACAGTGACTCTCAGGCATTCAACTATTTTTTAGTTACTTTCAGGCCTTCAGCTATCCTGTAATGATACCCTGTCCTTTTGTTCACCTATAAAGTCTCTATATCTTCTATCATAGCCTCAACCTAGTCTATATTAAAAACTCCCTAGCCTTAAGACTCACTGGCCCTTCAACTTCAGATTTTAGCTCCCAGGATTCCCAGGCTTCTTTGGTACAGATACACGATTTTCTATAAAGAATCGAAGGACCTGAGGTCGTATATAAAGGACTTTTCAGCCCGTCTATAAAGAAGTTTTTTTATAGACTCTGTGACATTCCGATCGTCCAAAAAACTACGAGGCCCTAAGCTTGCCTATAATCACTTCCACAGGGACTCTCTAGCCTTCACCTGTACTTTAGCGACTTCCAGGTCTTCAGATTTCCTATAAAGACTTATGAGTCCCTGAGCTCGCATAAAATACTACTTGAATTTGTTCGCCTATAAGCATTCTTGGCCTTCAGCTCGTCTATAAATACCCTATAGCCCTCTGCTCCTCTACTAGATCGGCAACTGTCTAGCCTTCGCCTAGTCTTAAATTAATCCCTTGCCTTCAGCGCGCTTCTAAAGACTATGTACAATTTAGCTAGCCTTTCTGAAGTTCGCCTATTCTAAAATGACTTCCTGGCCTTTAATAAAAACTCCCAAGTCTTCAGGTTGTTTATAAAGACTATATGGCCTTCAGCTCCTTTATAACGACTCTCATGCCTTTTATATCTTCTATATCACCCATAAATAGTCCAGTCTTATATTACTCCTTGGCCTTCAGCACCTTCTATAAAAACTGCGTGCACCTTAGGCTGCCTAAAAAGACTCTCTGGCATTTACCTAGCCTAAAATGAGTTGCTAACCTTCACATAGACTATGTGACTATCCCTGGCCTTCAACTTGCCTATAAATATTGAATGGCCTGTCTCAGGGCTTCAGTTCTTCTATAAAGATTATCTCCCTTCATCTAGCCTATAAATCTCCTTGACCTTTATCTCGTATATAAAGACACCATGGCATTAAGCTCTTCAATAGCGACCATTAGGCCTTCAGCTCTCCTCTAAAAACATCCTGACTTCCAGGTAGCATAGGGTATGACTTATGCCCAGACCACCAACTGTCTAGCCTTCACCTCGGCTAGACATGTGGCTCTCGTCCATCATGTTCACCTATTCTTAAATCACTCAATGGTCCTAAAGACTAAGTGCCTAGTTTAAAATGACTCCCTGGACTTCATATAGTCTATAAAGACAAAGTGAGGTATCCATACCTTCTATAGCTTCCAGGCCTTCAGTTTGCCTATAAAGACTCTATGCTCGTCTACCAGACCACCAACCGTCTAGACTTCACCTAGTCTATAAAAATCCCTGACCTTCATCTAATCTATAAAGACACACTGGCCTTCGGCTAGACTATAAAGACTACCTGGCCTTAAGCTCATCTATAAAGACTCCCTTTCCATCAACCTTCCTCCCTCCGAAGACTACCAGATCACAGCCCCTGTAGTCTACAGCTAACCTATAACGACTCCCTAAACTTCGTCTATAATGACTCTTGCTCCTGACTATGACTTGCAGACTGACCTTCAGCTGAACTATAAATACTTTCTGGCCTTCAGTTCGTTTATAATGACTCTTGCTTTGGCTCCTATAATAATCCACCTTCAGCTCCTCTAATAATTCCCTTGACATTATGTTGGTCTATAAAAAAATCCCATACCTTCAGCTCGACTGTAAACTCTTTCTGGCATTCTGATCGTCTGTTAAGATTCCTTGGCTTGCTGCTCGTCTATTAAAACTTCTTGTCCTGCAGTGACCTGCCGTATACTTGTTCTAATTTACACTTACTTCTCCTGCAAATAATCTCTAATGGCATTATCATAATTCTCTCTTCCCATTAAATTGCAAATCATGCGGAGAATGGCAGCACCCTTATTATAGCCAATGCTGCTGAATTTATACGCAACTTCAGAGGGTGTATTGATATTTTCCTCGGGATGAGATAATGGTTGGCTGTTAGCGGTAGCATCCAAATCAAAAATCAAATGGGTTTGTTTCAGCACAAATTGTTGGTCCATGTCATATTCGGGATAAATCTGTAGAAGAAGAATTTCAATTTTAGTAATCGTCCTTAAAAATTAATATCAATTGAATCTGCAGCTATGTTACCTGTTGCGTCAAATAATGAGAATAATAGGTGGGGAAAGCTTCATTTAACCAAAAATAACTCCACCATTTGTGAGTGACAGTATTGCCAAACCACATGTGACCTATCTCGTGGACCACCAGCGATATGGTAGATTCCTTGTCGGCCCACCCGTCTGTGTAATAGGGTTCTTGGGTCAATGCTAGATCTCTGTATGTGAGAAGGGAATACAATTAGTAGTTTTTTTTTTAATTTAGCAGAATTAAACCGAGTATAGGCATCGGAAACTTAATATGAACGAGTATTGTGTTTTTAGTAGAAGAAGCATATTCCAAGTCCTTAGTTCCACTTCAATGAAGTGTTTGATTGTTGTATTGAATCTGAATTAACGATTTTCACTTACCGATAAAAAATCAAACCCCAATTTTCCATGCCACCATGTGGAAAATAATTCGATCCGGCCATTTGCATTATGCCATTGCCCAACGTTTTATAAGGCATCTGAGTATACTGATCATAACCCTGCAGAGCACGGGCGGCCACTTTCAAAGTAAATCCAGTTTTATTTTGGAATTTTTGATTTATTATCACTTTCAAATCCGCACTGCCATCAACAACAAAATCATTGGCCACCAGGAATGCTACCAAATAGGTGGACATTTTTGGTGATGGTACAAAGATGTCGGTATAACGGCCATCACTGAAATTGAGTAAATTTATGAAATACAAAAATTAAAATGTTAATATGGTCTTACCTTTCACTCACAACGTTTTCCAGCTGGGTATTACAGTATGACAAATAGTCTTTGGGACGTGTAATTTGGATACGGAATTGTGCCTTAATTTGTGGTTCATCGAAACACGGGAAGGCGGTGCGGGCATCACTGATGTGGAATTGAGTCATGGCATACCAACTAAAATCAGAAGAATGAAAAATGAATATTAAGGATGAAAAAAACTTGACCTATGAGGACTTCCTGTCTTCTGCTCAAAAATAAAAAAGTGTGTTTAGATTTACTACATTCACTCGATTTCAAATGTCAATTCTATAGCGTATACGTCAAACATAATCCACTGGATTTTGTGAACAGGATTAAGGTGATATATACGCTATGGTATTGACATTTCAAATCGAGTGGATTTAGTACCCGCAAAGATTTCGTCGTCTACAAATGCTTCCTGGCATTCTGGCCGTTAATGAGGATACCAAGGCTTCCAGCGTGTCTATAAAGATTCCCAGGCCCTCAGTTCATATATAAAAACTCCCTGGCCTTCAGCCCGCCCATAAATATTGTCAGCTTTCAGCTTGTATAAAAATACTTCCCGCTCCCCAGTTCACCTGCAATGATTCCCTGACCTTTAGCTCGCCTACAAAGTCTCTAACCTTATGCTAGCCTAAAATGACTTTCCGACCTTCAGGTAGCCTTTAAGGACTCCCTGACCTACAACTCATTCAAATCGACATCGATGTCTTCAGTTCTTCTAATAATACTTCTAAATAAAATCAAACTGGCCTTCAGTTCAGTTCACCAATATAGATTGCCAGGCCTTAAGCTTCAAGCTTATAAAGAGTCTAGCCTTAAATTAGTCTCAATGACACCCTGTCCTTCAGCTAGCCTATAAAGACTCCTTGACTTACGGCTTGTCTATAAAGACTCTGTGGCCTTCAGCGCTGTATATTGATCTGCAGGCCTTTAGTTCTTCGAATAATACTTCTAAAGAAATAGGCCTTCAGTTCTCCCATTAAAACTCCCTAGCTTTACGAAAAAGAAAGACTCTTGCGTTAATCTAGTCTAAAATTACTCCCTGTCCTTCAGCTAATCTATAAAGACTCCCTGACCTACATCTCTTCTTTGAAGACTCTAATCAATAAAGACTGGCCATCATGTAAACCCTGACATTCAGAACTTTAATGAAGACGCAGAGGCTTTCGGCATGTCTACAAAGATCTTCAGGCCTTCAGTTGGTCTATAAAAAGGCTCGCCTATTATCTTTGCTAGGCCTTCTGTAAATACTCCCAGCTCCAAAGCTTACCTGCAAAGACTTCCTGGATTCCTGATAAAGACTCTAGTCTTAATCTAGTCTAATATTACTCCCTGTCCCTCAGCTAATATGTAAAAACTCCCTGACATACATCTCGTCTATAAAGACTTCATGGCCTTCAGCTCTTTATATCAACTTGCAGACCAGTTCAGTTTTTCTAAAAAATATTTGTAAATAAAATCCCAAACTGGCCTTCAGTTCATCTGTAAAAAATCACGGGCCTTCAGGTCGTCAATATCGATTGCAAGGCCTGTAGTTTCATGCCTATAAAGTCTCTAGCCTTAAACTAGTCTAAAATTACTCCCTGGCCTTCAGCTAACCTATAAAGACTCCCTGATCTACATGTCGTCTATAAAGACTCCATGGCTTTTAGCGCTTTTATATCGACCTCCAGATCTTCAGCCCTTCTAAACTAGTTCTTAAGAAAATTGTAAGCTAGTCTTCATTTCGTCTATAAAAACACCCTGACCTTCTCGCCTATAAAGACTCTAACATTAACTTCGTCTAAAATGACTCCCTGTACTTTAGCTAGCCTACAAAGACAACCTCGCCTACAGCTCGTCTATAAAGATACCGTGGTCTTGAGCTCTTATAAAAAGACTTCGGAAACTGCTGTCTAGATAATTATAAGGACTTTGAATTTTTTTTTTTTGGGATTTTACTTTTCCCAATAACCAATTTGTTTTCAGAAAAATAAGAATACTTAATTTGGTCCAGTTTTTTTTTTTTTTCAAAATCGACCCTATTTTTTATTGCATAGAATTTTACCACCACTTAATGAACCACCCTCCTTTTGTATAAAATATTTATTAATGAAATTTGTTTTTAATATTAATTGCATTATTATTGAATGTTATTGATCTTATCAATCCACATGAACTGGATTTGATTTGAAATTTGTATACATAAATACAAACAAATTAAATTGACATAACAGATGCAGAGCAGTACATTGCACTTGAATATTTAAATTGAGTGCTAAAGAAGAACAGGTTCGCAGAGAAAACTATATTAAACAAATGGGATTAATTTTTTAAATAGTTCATATTAATTTTGACCTTCAGCCCAATTTTGGCCTTCTGACTCTGGTCATTAGCTCATCAAAAAAACTCCTTGGATTTCAAGACACCTACTTAAATCTTAATGGGCTTAAGGTCGCCTACGAGGACTTTTTGCCCTTCAGCCCGTTTATAAATACTCTATGGAATTCAGAATATCACCCCGTCCGCCTATAACCCAAAATATATGACAAGAATATAGTCAAAGGTAAAACAAACAACTCTTTTTAAAACACATGGTCATAGTCTAACAAAGTCAAAGTCTCAAAAAAGTATTGATTAGTTCAAGATTTTCAACTTGAAAAACGTGTCACAGTGTAATGACCTCGTGTCCTTCTGCTCGTATCTAAAGACTCATCTAAATTCATGTCATAAGCACCAAAAATTATTTTTATGAGCTAAAACTCCCTGGAATTTAGAACAGCTATTAAGTTCTCAGGACTTCAGCACTTTTATATATTTTCAGCTAACGTATAATAACTCCAAGGCCTTCAGCTAATATTTCTTGACTCTCTGGCTTTAGCTTATCTTAAAACTCCTATACGGAATTCTTGATCATCAGCTTTATATAAACTCCATGCTAGTCAACTCGCCTCTACATATTCGCAGAACTTTCGCTAAAAACAGCTATTAAGACCTACAACTCTTTTATAGCGCGACCTTTATAATCATAATCATTTTTATAAAAATGTTTTTAAAAGTTGCCTATGTGGACTGCTTGTTCTTCAGCTCATCAAAGCAAAATTTTTAAAATCCAAATTAGAAATCAAATTTTTATATTTGTTTACGCCTAATTTAAGCCAGGATTTTTTTAAATATTTTTTAAGGAGGATGTGTCTGCACCAATGCCTTCGGTTTGGTGCTTTACCCGTTGTTAAAATTTCCGGATAGGTTTGGTATTCTGTTTCGTTGGTTTTTCATAGTAGTAGTTTTTTCCAACTAACCCGACACCTTAGCATATTTTTTATAGGTCTTATGGTGAATTCGGACTCTATTGGCCCATTTATTTTTATGAGGGTTTCTCAGAATGTTCTGTTTTCGTAAATAAAAAGAAACGCTGTCATTCTTTATAGTTTTCGAAATTAAGGGAAATTTGCAAGATACAAACTGCTATGTAATTTTTATGATTGCCGTAGGAAACAAATAAACTCGGACACCTTTATGTAGAATTTCCCTTTTGGGTTCTGTTATGGTAGCTACTCCTTCCCATTCAAATTGTAATTTTTACAAATGTGTGTATTTCCGTTAGCTGCATCTGGGAAGATATTTTTTATTTATAGCGATACTTTTTTGAATATGTTGAGCGCTTCAAATGTGTTCGAAGAATTAGGACACTTCACAAAGAACCTAGTCCAGACTTTGGTCGTCAAGAATGAATGTGAAATTATGTTGACTACACAGAAAAAACTTTGACAAATTTGAATTTAATTCGCATATGCAAGTTTCGCATCAGGGCGGAATAAATACAAGTTATCAACGTACGACATTTGTAAAGCCACATAGCCCAATATGCCTGATGAGCCACTTAACCAACGGCGAAACGCGTCGCATAATGGCGGGTACGTAGGTTCTTCTCCTGGCTTTCCTTTTCATTGCAAAACTTAGATCATCAAGCTCGACTCGAAAGAGCATAAATAACCACTGAAAAAATAATTCGTATATTATATGAATAGTATTCATAAAACCTTAAAATACTCGTTTCTTATAAGAGAGTAAAAAAAAACACAGCATTTCGGAGTGCGCGTTTGGTGGTGACGGGTGTTTTTGTGTTCTTGTTTTGCGTTATTATAACAATTATATACGTATTTGTTGCTCGTATCAACACTTGTTTGATATATTGTATTTGGTATTTATATCGAAATAATTTGGAAAATTCATATGCGAATTATACAACATCAAAAAGAGGTCAGTAGCAGTGTCTGAAATAATAAAACAATGGAGTGCAAAAATAACCACAATCAAATGAGCGGAGAGACGTCGCACAACGAATTGTTGTGGTGTTTATTTTTCGCAGGAATACATTTGTTTTTGTCAAAAGAGAGAGCAAGAGAAAGGAAATAATTAGCGCAAATAGTCTTAAATCAGAGCGAATTAGGAAACTAGTTTTCATATAAATGAAAAGTTTACTTTTATTCGGGGGAAAAATAGTGTTTATTTTTATATTAGTGTTTAATGTTTATAAGAGCATATATAAATAAAAACATATATTCTAAGAGAGGTATACATATGTGCAATATGGAACAAATAAACTATTAATTTAACTATGAATATCCATCTTATGGTGGTGGCTATAATAAGTTCAGCCCTGCCGAAGTTAACGACCTTTTTACTTATTTATAAACAAAACACTTTCTACAGCTGTTCTATATATAACCAAAAATAAGACATTCCCAAACAAACTTTATAATCTTTAAATGCACATAACATACTCATAAATACTTCAACATCAACTTACTTTTTATTATCGTATGTGGCACGATAAATACCACCCATATCGCTACGAATACGCCCGGTATATTTAAAATATAACTTATACGGCTTTTCGGGAGTCAAGTTCGTGGACAATGGTACACTTAATTTATTTGTAATCACTTGATACAGCAATTTATCTTCACCCCAGTAGTGGTCAACCGCCTTATCATCGGCATCATAGAGAATTGTCTCCACAATTTCTATCATTGCCGCATGTAGGGTAATATTACGAACATTCGCCGCTGTTGCATGCAGTGTGATATTAACTTCACCATCAAACGTAAATTGTTTGACACCATCTTCAGATTGTAGATAAGGTTTCAGTTTGATATCATAGAAATCGGGTACGACATCTTTGCTTAGACGATAGTCGACTATGGACTGAGATAATGTCGGCCCGGCGATTATCAGTGTTAAAAATAAACAAAATGCGAATTGTTGTAAGCGGGACATGTTGTTTTTTTCTTTTCGTTTTTAAAACGCACGCACCGCAACTGCGACTTGTTGCGTTCTCGCGTTCAGTTCAAACTAAAAACTGAGAATGGATTTTTGATTTACTTACCCCGTTGAGGGAATTGAAATGTTGCTGTTTTTTAACAGATCATAAAATGCAATAAAGATTAATTATCAGTAACGTATTTTGCTGTGTATATATAGAGTGGGGCCTTAATATGAAACTATTATCATTATATTTAAAATATAGAGAATTTGAGGTTTATTGCCAAGTAGTGTAGAATTTTTACTACTTAATGTTGGGCGCCATTGGGCTACTTAAGTTAAAACTTCGATCTGCTTTAAAATTTTTCCATAAATATTACAATAGATTAATACTTTATATGAGTAATTTCTACTTTTATTCGGTCAAGCGTGAATCTGTGTTGGTGGTATATAAAAATAACTGTTTTTTCAATGTATTTAGATATCCATCAATAAATATCTTGTACTATTCAAAGTAGGACCCAAAACGCCTGTAACTATCTTGCGTCTGAACGTCCCTTGCGGAAATGTTTAAGGTAACAGCCAAATTTCATACAATTTGGTAATTTGAAATCTCTTGAGTAGAAAATATTGATCCCCATTTTAGGGTAATCCTCATGTAACGACTTTCCCAAATTTAGGTACGTTTTTTCAACCAAAGAGGTTGTAATTTACTATATAGGATTACCATTGTGTAAAAATTCTCCCTACACAAAATTATCAATATTGGCCCATGTTTCCGGGTACGGATCATTGATTGTATATTTTCATTTGATCGTAAAATCTATCCACCATAAAAAATCACCCCTGTAAAAGTCCTGATCAATTCATGGACTTTGGCCCTGTCGAACTTAACTACGTGATTCCTTGTTTCACATTATTTTCCGACTCTGTACTTTGTGCTTGCGCAGACACGATCTAGCCTTGGTAATAATTTTACGATATGTAAAATATCGGATAACATTTTGTTTTTTTTTAATGTTTGACCTCTTTTTGGAGCATGTATCAGAAAGTTTGGACTAATGGCTCCATGTTTTGCAGGAATTGTGGTTCATAACAGACATTAAATTCGATTAATGAGGTGTAGAGCGTAGAGTGCAGATGCCACCAAGCGGTGGAGGTTGTTCTTGTTTTGCTCTCCTTGTTGTTCTTGTTTTGCTCTCCTTGCTCTTCCAATGGGAGAGAATGTCACAGCAGAATCACTTGTCGTCTAACCTTAGAAGTAACTTGTAGAGTTAACTAATCCATAACTACGCGTTATTACTAACAGGTTTCAGCGGCGCCACCATAAATTGCTTTTTAATATTCCCAGAGGATAAAAATTCTCCATTGGTCCATAACGTTTTTAGGTAATTTTCGTTGGGCGCCACTTTTTGTGTGCTGTACTTAGCACACCTTTATATTTTGTTGTACAATATTTCTGTTTTAATTTTTTTCAAATATTTTATTTGATATTTTATAAAACATGTTTTTAATTTAGGGCCTTGCATCAGAGACCTCCTCTATGTCGTCTCCTAATTTCATACCATAAAGTGGGTTATAAAATGTGTGCTAAATACTATGTCCTGATAAGATTGTGATTGTGTAGATTCATAGCAATTATGGAAGTTTTTTCTTATAAGGCTATAATAAGATTATCCGATGGGTAATATATTGTTGTCTTTATAAAAGTGCGGGCGTATAAAGTTCTAGAGCAATCGGTTCGAATTCACCTCTATACCCTTCGTCCAATTACGTGACGAATAATAATTTTTGTGAAATCTGGTTTAAAATAATTGGATATAGTAGGTGACGAGACTGCCGAGATCTAAAAAAAAATTTGGCCATTACTGAACGCCGACTATTCAGTGGAGGGTTTATGGGCTCCCTAATAACACAACTAAAAACGAGTAAGCGGAGCATTATATTCGGACAAGACAAGACTTCCACCTATGAATACAATATTTTTTACGATGCATATTATCATGTTAACGTTTATCATAAGAAACAAATAAACTTTGAAACATTTATGTAGAATTCCCCTTTTGGGATCTCTTATGGAAAAACGTGAGCAAATTGAGATGTACAGGAGTCAGAATAAACTCCGGAAATTTTACCAACGAGGCTTTGGTACAGGCGCATGCTCCTGTAGGGATGAAGAAGGAAACCTGGTGACAGATACAGACAACGTGTTGAGGATCTGGAAGGAGCATTTTAAAAACCTTATGGTATTAAATAGGAGCTTTGAAGAGGATACTCCAGAACCAATAATAGATGACGGCAAAGAGTGTATACCCCCTAGCTAAGATGAGGTCAGAACAACAATCACTCGGCTGAAGAAAAATAAAGCAGTAGGTGCCGATAGGTTACAAGCCGAACTATTCAAGACTGGTTGTAAGATGCTGGTAAGGAGCATGCACCAGCTGATTAGTACAATTTGGCTAGAGGAATGCTTGCCCAATGATTGGAACCTCAGCATCATGGTCCCGTGCACAAAAGCAGACAAGGCGATATGTGCCAACTATAGAGGAACAAATCTCCTTCCCATCGTATATAGAGTTCTATTCAGCGTGCTGTGTAAACGACTGAAGCCAATGGTCAATGACATTATTGGACCATACCAATGAGGCTTAAGGCCAGTCAAATCCACCATTGACCAGATTTTCACTCAGAGTCAAATCCTGGAAAATAGAGTCAAATCCTGGAAAAACACATAGGCCTATTTGTCGCATTCGACAGCCGCCCTATCCGTTCAGAGGTGTTTAAATCCATGTCTGCGTTCGGCATTCCTGCGAAATTAATACGGCTATGCAGGATAACTTTGAGTGGCACAAGGTCAGCAGTTAAAGTCGGAAGGCCTTCGGGAGCCCTTCAATACCGAACGAGGATCCAGACGAGGCGACTGTTTATCCTGTGACCTGTTTAACGTCCTGCTGGAAAAGGTCATACGTGATGCAAGTGTGAACTGAAATGACACTCTGTACACCAAACAAAACATGTTACTCGCCCACGATCACATCGACATAATGGGTCGAACATTGAGAGCGTAGTTTGCCAAAGTGGTCTGACAGTAAACGCCGAAAAGACCAAGCTGATGGTATCAACTCGCAAGACGTCCTGTAAACTCGGACCAACTGTGGAACTTGAGAACTAAAGCTTCGGGGTGGTCAAAGATTTTATATAACTTGGTAACGCCATAAATAAAACTAATGACATCTTTTTTGAAATTCGGAGAAGGCTAGTGTTAACCAACAGATGCTACTATGGTCTAAGTAAGCAGTTTAGAAACAAGGCCAACTCCCGCCAGACTAAACTTACACTCTTTAAGACCCTGATACCACACGTGCTGTTATATGGATCTGAAGCATGGGTACTTGCGCAATCAGATGAGGCAGCTCTTGGATTGAGAGAAAAATTCTCTGAAAAATCTATGGGCTGATCGAATGAACCACGAGCTTTATAATCTATACGCGGACATCAGCATAGTTAGACGTATTGTACTGCAGCGACTACGGTGGCTAGACCATGTTGTGCGAATGGATGAAGATGCCCCAGCTCAAAAGGCATATAAAAGCGAGCCTACTGAGAGTTCACGCAGAAGGGGAAGGCCACGAATTAGAAGAAAAGGCTAAGTAGAAGAAAACATATCGGAACATGGTCTTTCAAATTGGAAAAACTGCGCAAAAGGCCAACGAGTTTGGAAATCTGTTTTAAGCTCGGCTTATGGAACGAAAGTGGGGTTACTGTAAATAATTATATATAAGGAGGATATATAAGGAGCTACTATAACAGAACCAAAAGTTGAATATCGTATTTTTTGTACATTATATAATCAAAAAAAAACTAAAGTCATAAATGTGATTTCTGTAAAAAATCATCTCGAATGTGTAGCTAACAGAAAACAAGCATCATGTAAAAATTAAATTAAAATTGTAAGGAGTAGCTACCATAACCGAACCCAAAGGAAAATTCTGGCAACAATTTATTTTAGACCTTCGGACGTCATTGCATGCCAATACCTATACAACTCCAAATGTTTTGAAATAAATTGTACCAAAAAATATTTATTTGTATAAAATCTTCGTATAAAAATGTTGTCATTTTAAATATCTTCAGCATTTAATTATTTAAGGAAATCATTATTAAAATTATATCTCATTTCACCAGAATTTATTCAATAAAACAAATAACGCAATTGGCAAAAGTAAGGATGGTATGCTTAGGATCGAACCACCTGAATTACGATTCTCTAAATAGTCGAATAGTTTTCCTAAGTGTTTTTCGGACCACGCCAAATTTGATTCCACCGTCTTTACTGCAGTCTCTAGGGTCGTAACGGAGCTGCCAAACAAATGTCCCTTGGTATCAATGAATTCCTTTAGCAAATCCAATTGATGTTGGGTGGTGAAGTAGTTGGCAATGCCACTGATCACCTGGGCCGTTGATGACCAGCTGTCCAAACTGAGAGAGGGAGAAATAAGAATAAAATTAAAAGAATTTTAAAATAGTGAATAATTTGATTAGGCGGACTTACACTGCAGCCAAAACTTCCACGGTTTCGGTGATAGCATAAAATACAGGTTCCACATTTTGCGGCGTTTGACTGTACAAGGCACTAATGGCAGTGGTCTTCATCGACTGTGGTACGCCATCACTCAAAATATAGGCATAATGGAAATCGACATAATGCCGAGTACAACCCATTGCCCTTAAGATTTTCTCCTTTTGAGGTTGGAATAAGGTTCCTTCGAACATTTCCTTGAGTTCAAGATAAATATCAAAGGTGGCATCGCGATTGGCAGCACAATAAAGAGTTTCCTGGAAATCAGCTGGCACCTGAGCGGGTTCCCATGATTTAAATAGTTGTTGGGCCCTGCGGGTACAATCTTCATGATGATATTTGCACATCCAAGAGATAACCTTATTGCGGTTGTATACATCCAATACCGTATCTTGGGGATTTTCAAAACCCAACCTAGAATAAACTGCCCACATGATCTCGAATAAAAAGTTACCAAATTTTTCGTGTTGTGCCAAAGTAAATCTCTGGCTGAGGAGATTGAATGCCTTAAATGCCGGATTCCAGGCTAAATATTCAACTTCACCCCCCAAATATTCCATGAAGGCGAACACCTCATCATAACCCATAAGACCTATGCGTCCATACGTGAACAAATCATCCACGAGATGGGCACGATTACTGACATGGATACCACTGTGCTCACGTTCCAATAAAGCCTTCTGTATTCTCTCCAAGAGGTCGGCTTCATAAAAAACTCTATAATAATTGGATTGTTGTAAATTCAAAATAATCCATTTATCGGCTGTGGAATTTCCAAATTCGACTTCATTTTGGGTTTTATTGAAATAGAATTTCGGAGTGAGATCCTCAAAATTCGTCTTATTGTCGTTGGTATAGGTAATGGGTATGGTATATTTTAGGGTGGTATCACTGCCATCTTCGGGATCAAGCAGGAATCGTTGTTGTTTCAAAAGATACCGTCCCGATTTGGTGGTGGAAATGGTAACCATAGGGAATCCTGGCTGCTCTGTCCAATCATTAAACAATTGATCTAAATTGACTTCTTGGTCCTGGGGCCAATGTTGTTTCCAATGTTTGAAAAGATCAGCAGGAACTACGTTTTTCAGGTGACTAAAATTATACAACAAAATTGGAAAATATAGAAAAATAGTACTGGCGGACCGAAGAAAAAGTTCTTCAATTCACTGAGGACACCTTTTTTATTTTTTTTTTCTGTAGAAAAACCATCCTCAACAATCCTCTATAAAAAATTCCTCAGTACGCTGAGGACTCTTTTTTCAAAATAGAAAAATTCCTCAGCACGCTGAGGACTCTATTTTCTATAGAAAAAAATTCCTCAGTACACTGAGGACTCTTTTTTCTAGAGAAAAAAATTCCTCAGTACACTGAGGACTCTTTTTTCTATAGAAAAAAATTCATCAGTACACTGAGGACTCTTTTTTCTATAGAAAAAAATTCCTCAGTACACTGAGGACTCTTTTTTCTATAGAAAAAAATTCCTCAGTACACTGAGGACTCTTTTTTCTATAGAAAAAAATTCCTCAGTACACTGAGGACTCTTTTTTCTATAGAAAAAAATTCCTCAGTACACTGAGGACTCTTTTTTCTATAGAAAAAATTCCTCAGTACACTGAGGACTCTTTTTTCTATAGAAAAAATTCCGCAGTACACTGGGGACTCTTTTTTCTATAGAAAAAAAATCATCAGGACCGACTGAGGACTCTTTTTTCTATAGAAAAAAATTCCTCAGTACACTGAGGACTCTTTTTTCTATAGAAAAAAATTCCTCAGTACACTGAGGACTCTTTTTTCTATAGAAAAAAATTCCTTAGTACTCTAAGGGCTCTTTTTTCTGATCCTTTCAAGATTTCCTCAGTACACTGAGGACTCTTTTTTTCTATAAGTGCTCTAAGGGCTCTTTTTTCCATAGAAAAATATTCCTTAGTACTCTAAGGGCTCTTTTTTCTGATCCTTTCGAAATTTCCCACCCAATACTTACTTCTCTTTCAAATATTCCCTTATAGAGTTATCGAAGTTATCTTTTCCCATCAAATTAGAGAACATGCGCAGGATAGCAGCTCCCTTAGCATAAGTTATGCCACTAAATTTATACGCCAAATCAGAAGGACTATTTATGGTTTCTTCGGGACTAGTTAATGGTTGGGTACTTCGGGCAGCATCGGTACCAAATATCAAATGAATTTGATTCACCACAAATTGTTTGTCCAATTCGAATTCGGGGTAAGCCTAAACGAAAAAATGAAGATATTACAAAATTTCGGAATATTCCCGAAGGGGACGACTTACTTCGTGAGCCAAGAAATATTGATAATAACGAGCGAAGGCCTCATTCAGCCAAAAGTAACTCCACCATTTAAAGGTGACACTGTTGCCGAACCACATGTGCGATGTCTCGTGGAACAAAATTGTCACAGTAAATTCCTTGTCTGACCAGCCGTCTGTGTAGCCAGGCTCATGGTATAGAACTGAGTCGCTGGAAGTACAAATATAACAATTTAGGTTAAATAGTAAAAGGAAGAAAGAACAGGGGCCTAATACTTGATCTATGAAAATAGGGAAAGAAATCTCGACAAAAAATATACCCTTGAAGAGACAGGGAATCAAAGATCCAATTATATCGAAATTTTTTTACTTACTGATATATCACCAGACCCCAATTCTCCATGCCATTGTGAGGAAAACGCATTGAACCTGCCTTTTGCATCAGAGTATTACCCAAAGTCTTATAGGGCAGTTGAGTATATTTATCAAAGGCTGCCAATGTTTTCAGGGCAACATCGGTCGAATATGTCGTTTTATTTCTCAATGATGGATGCATTATCAATTTGAAATCATCATCACCCACAGCTTCGAAATCGCCAACCACAAAAGCTACCAAATATGTTGACATCGGCGGAGTTACATCGAAATAGTCCGTATAACGACCATCACTGAAATTTGATACTTTTTTAAATATGTTTTTAGGAAAAGGGATGTAGATTACTTACCTCTCAACTTTAGTATTTAAAAGTCTCGTATTAAAGGACGATAAATACTCCTTGGGCCGGGTGATACGCATACGATATGTGGCCTTGAATTGCGGCTCATCGAAACATGGGAAACCGGTGCGTGCATCAATGCGTTGGAATTGAGTAATGGCATACCAACTGGAAATATGTACATATTTTAAATTAGGAATTTAGGATAATGGGATCTGTAGTATAAACAACAGATAATGGAAAGTCAAGACCATAGGTGAGGAAATTTTTCTATAGACAAAAGTGAATTCTCAGTAACCTGAGGAACTTTTTCTATAGAAAAATTGTTTTCCTGCTCAAGTTAATTTTCCTTAGAAAAATATCAAAGGATCAAAGGAATTGTTTTCAGGAGTCTGTATAAAAAAGTACTTCTTTTCTATAGAAAAAAAAATAGTTTTCAGGAACCTGAGCTCTTAGCTTCTGTAGATTATTTTTGCTCGAAGTAAGAAACAAAGAAAAATTCCTCTATTCTTTTTTTTTCTGATATTTATCTACATTAAAAAATAGAAAAAAGCGTATTCGAGGACCTGCTGATTTGTTTTCTCAGACACCTCATGGTCCTTCTAAAAAGTCCCCATGATTTTTCTAAAGAAAAAATAATCCTCTGGAACGTGAGAAATTAGTTTCTGTAGTTAATTTTTCCTCGAAGTAATAGACAATGGTACGAATTTTTAGTGAATCCCCCTATTATTGATGATCTTTATAATTTTTTATAGATAAAAGAGGTATAATGTGTTGTCTACAAAAAACTATTGAAAAAGAGTACTTGGGGACATGCTGTTTATTTTCTGTGGAAGGGAGAGTCCTGAGGAACCTCATGATGTGTTTTCTATACAAGAAAGAAGCCTCAGAAACCGAATGTTTTTTCTATAGAAAAAAGTCCCCAGGAAGCTAAAGAATTAGTTTATGTACTTTATTTGTACTCAAAGTAAGAAACCATGGTTCGACTTTTATGTAGATCCCTCTATTCTTTATAGTCCTGATGATTTGTTTTTATTTTTTTTCAACAGAAAAAAATGTATTAAAAACGAGTCCTCGGAACATCAAGATTTCTTTATTTTTCTATAGAAAAAGAGTTCTCAAGGACCTGAGGAATTGGTTTAGTTGTTTACTTGAAGTAAGAAACAATTGTGTGACTTTTAAGTTAATCCTCACTTTTCTTAACGGTCCTGCTGATTTTTTCTATAGAAAAAAGAGTCCTCAGAGACCTGATCTTGTTTTCTGCATAAAATATAGAAAAATAGAGTCCTAATTTTTTTTATACCCTTCACCATACTGTAGTCTAGTCTATTATGTCTTTGTGCATACGTTTGTAACAGGCAAAAGGAATCGAGATAGACCCATGATTCCTTTTGAGAATATGCATAGAATCACTTTCTGAGTCGATTTACGCATGTCCGTCCGTCCATGTATTTTTGTTAACTAAGTACAGGTCGCATTTATGATCCGATTTGGACGAAATTTGGCACAGTTCACTTATTCGGCCCAAGGACGAACCCTATTGAAATTGGGAAAATTCGGTTCAGATCTAGATATAGCTCCCATATATATTTTCGACCGATTTTATGTAAATAGTGCACCAAAGTACCTATATATCCTTCGATTGGCACGAAATTTTGCGTAGCGTACTGAATTAAGTTTAGAAAGGTCTGTGTTAAATTTCATGAAAATCGGTTCAGATTTAGATATAGCTCCCATATATATTTTCGTCCGATTTTAGGTAAATAGTCCACCAAAGTCCCTATATATCCTCAGATTTGCACGAAATTTTACATAGCGTACTGAATTAAGTCTAGAAAGATGTGTTTTAAATTTCGTGAAAATCAGTTTATATTTAGATATAGGTCCCATATATATTTTCGTCCGATTTTATGTAAATGGTGCACCAAAATCCCTATATATCCTTCCATTTGCACGAAATTTGGATTTATAAGTAAATAAAGAACTCAAAAGATGGCCCAATGCAAAAACATACTGAAATAAGTGTAACCTAACATGTGACAAGTTTCGATGAAATCGGTTTAGATTTCGATATTTATAAATGTTCCCGCCGAAATTAATTGTGTGTTGTGGTTGTTTTTGGTCTGGAAAAATTGAATACCGAATTGCAGACACGCATTTTGGACAAGTGGGCTAAGAACTTCAACATACCGAATATTATGTGAGGGGGAATATTAAAACATTGAACGTTTTCTAAGAAGAAGGGTTTGGTAGAAAAATGCGGCTATTAGGGCAGGATGTGAATACTACACTAAAATGTAATCCTATATTGAAAATTTTCTGCAGAAAGAATACGGAATTAGAAATTGGCTCCATTTTGATGGGAATTTTCTAGTAATTTTCCATTCAATTCACATATCAAAAATTATTTTCCGAAATGTATTTCACCATCCTGAAGTTTGGAATTACAAATTACAGCCACTTCGATGTGCAATTTCGATTAAAACCCTCAAAATGCCTAAACTTACATGGATCTATATATGGGGGCTATGCAAAATTGCACATAATCCCTGAATGCCAATTTATAGCCACATCGGCGAGAGAATGCATTTAAAACCTTCGCAATACCGAAAATAGGGCGTTCACTTTATATGGGGGTTTTAATTGGACGATTTGTGAGGTGGACACCAAGATACCTGTTTTTTTTTGCATGTGAGAACTGCAACCTCCTGCTCTAGGAACAAAAATAGATATCAGCAGAATCATTGTTGAGCTTCGGATTTAATAAGAGGAGGGTTAAAATCTCCTTACAAGACGTCGATATCGTACTAGTTTACTAGATTAATCTTAAAATATTACATCATTCCATTTTTACCGCATATAACGAAACGAATAATGTTAATTTTATTACTTCTTCTACTTTCAGTAATAGTACAGCAGTAGACCAGGCGAATGTTAACAAATGCTGCTTGTTGTGGCATCTGCCAGCCCCATGCTATTTTGTAGGAGAAATGATCACCATTTTGAGTGAAGACATGAATACCAAAGGTAAGTCCGTATATAATTTTATATAAATTACGTTTATATGAATGCAATTGCTGCTTCGAAAAAACGAAATATCAAACAACAGATTGTCAGGTCGATAGATTGGGCTAGGACCTTGTACATACCGATGTCCTCAAAATACTTTCCTTATATAAGGACTACACCGAAAAGAGCACAGATATTGATAATTTTTGGGTGGAAGCTTTTCTACAAAATGTCAAATATCGAAATTTGGAGGTACCGTCATATGGGGGCATCGTAAAAAGTTGTGCCTATTATTGAAAAACCTTCCAAAAATCCCTTAAATAAATACTGAACATTTCGGGGTACATTTATATACCATACCATAACGTAGACCAATATATTCCAAAACTCTATCTTAAATATTGCGAGCCTTAATTAGCATCGAATTTTATTATTACACTCCACTCTATGGTGAAGGATATAAAACTCAATTTAGAGCCAAACGTACCAAAATACAGAATTATAGGGTTTCTGGTTATATGAGGTTTTGAGGTAGCCCAATATTTATAATTTTTAGTAAATTATTTTTCGGCTTAAAAGCGTGCCCAACATATCGAAATTTATATCTAACGAATCTTATTCGTGGAAGAAAAACTTTGAAACAAATGGCATAACTGGTGATGTGGCGACTTTCCCGCATGAATCACATAGTACGGTCAATACTGAGTAATACCCCACAACTAGTTTGCCTGAAGACTTTGAAGAAATTCAAAAGAAGATCTCAGCTGAAACTAGAGACTATTTGATTTGATAGACAAAAAAATTATTGTTGAGTCATCTGCCATACAACCCTGACGTGAAACCCAATGACCTCATTTTCATCCCATACGTTAACAACAAAAAATGCGTAATCAACGAGTTTCGCTGCCAGAATATGCTGTTCTGGAGGTGTCTCAATCGGAGTGTAAAACTCCTTAGACAATTCGTGTGAGCGGGTACCTCCTACTCGTACTTCCTCAAAATGTAGTGGTTATCGCTACCAGCATGTAGACAATTTGATCTGAGTTTAACCCTTTGAGCCCCGAATTTTTTTTCCGCAATCTTAGAACAAATTTCTGTTCACAGATTTAATGCAACTATCCTAAATAGGATATAAAATATAAGCTGCATATAAAATATAAGCTCTAAAACATTTTGTTGCCTGTGGGCAACATTGGGCCACAAAGGGTTAAGGACCACTATCAAACTCAATTTCCGAGTAAGACCAACAGGACCAAATTAGAATTCTGAAGAAGCGAATGATAATAAGATGGTAGAAAAAGTTAGCAAAGACATTTATACGTAGGGCAAATAGCCGGGAACTGACTAGCATGAAATGGGGAAACAAGTGCGAACAGCAAACTAATACCCAGAAGGATAAGGCTAGCATTCGCTCTACTTCCTCGGAAGCGACGAAGAGAATTAAGCCTCTGAGGAGCAGACAAATGCCAAATCCATAAAAAAAGAGGTTATGATCGGCTGATATAAAGATAAAGTACATCCAATACAAAGCTGAAGGAGTCTGCCAGGACAATGCAGTGATTAAGGGCGAAAAAGCTGGCTCTTATTATGACGTGACGGAAATCCCAAAACCGGAAATCTAACCGTTCTTTACAAATTAGGACTTGTGACTCCATATCACTGGAATGTTAATGGTTATGGTCCTTGATTTTTTAGTGTTGTCATTTTCTTCTGAGTGTCGCTATATTCGATCAGTTTTGTGATGTTGGCGCCGACAACAACGACCTTGTGCGGTGGTTGGAGTCCTTGATTATTTAGTGTGGCCCTTTTTCTCTGGATGCATATTCCTCTGAGATACGCTAAGTTCGATATCTATTGTGTTATCGTCATGATGTTGGTGCTGAGTTTTTAGGGTGCATTTCATCGGGAAGGGGATGGTAATGTCTCCTCCCGGACCCATCGCTTTGTGGTCTGACACACTATCACACTACATCATCCTCAACCACAGCCCAAAATTGTAGGATGCGTTTTTTTCTAACCAACACTAGATGACAGTACCATCACCTGATTACATGCTCTCCTTGTGTGATCTAGAGTGGTTACTGTGTGAGAAATATGGAAGATGACAAGAGGAATCCGCATGCGAAACTGCCAATACTACCTGGTCGGACATTTCACTAATATTTCAATCTTACACCGAATGTGTCCGGAATGAATGCAATGGATGAATGTTTAATTATTTCGGCTTTCTGCATCATTAAACCTAACCTTCCCAACCAAAAGAAATCCGATTACATATGAGCTATTTAAATTCGAATCATAAAGGTTCTGAGGTGTTAATAGTAGATCATAATAATTTTAAATATAGGTGAAATTTCATAGGCTAATATTCCAAACACATTCAACTTACTTTTCATTGTCATATGTACCGCGGAATACGCCAGCCAAGCCGCTGCGTATTTGTCCAACATATTTGAAATACAAAACATAATTCGAATTCTTCGTCAATGGGGTTTGCAAAGGTACCGTGAGCTTATCGGTAATTGACTCGTACACCAATTTCTCCTTCCCAACTCTTTCAACCACCTTTCCCTCAGTATCATAAAGGATCGTATCCAAAATTTCAATATAATCCTTATGCAATGTAATCTGCTGTATCTTATCCTCAATGGCATGCAGAGTTATGTTGACCTCACCGTCGAAGGTAAATTGTTTGTCGCTGCCATCACCTGCCTGTAGATAAGGTTTGATGGCAATATCGTAGGCATCGGGTATAACTACTTTGGGTAGGCGATAATCTTGTGCTAGAACACCAGTACGACTTGCCGCCACCGATAGCAGCAGCAAGTGGATGATAAAACGTTTCATTTCAATGTCGAAAAAAATACCGTCTAATTTTGTACGATCCGTTCCGTTCTTTGCTTATTTTTTGTTTGCTCACGTCGAAATGTTGATATAGACTGGGGGCAAACGCTTTCAGTGAAATCGAATGCTAGCCGCAAGTCATAAATTGTTAACATTGAACGATGAACGCGATTAGATTTGCAAAGAGAGTATTGTTTCGTTAAATACGGCAAAAACAAGTACGGAAGATATTTGTCTTTGGCTTTTTTTATTTTGGTTTGCTTTTGCGGCATTGACCAATCGACATAAACAAGTTCATATCGGGGAAGACCCCCATCTCGTCGAGGGTGGTATATTAATTTTTGGGTAAAGTAATAATATTAAATTAAAATAAAATAAATTAAACCCGCAGAGATTTTGATTATGAATAAAAACCTGCAAACATAGATGAACTTCGAAGGCGGTCCTTATCGGACCACAATTTTTGATACCTTCCATAACATTCTTAAACAAATACGAATCGAATGGAATATTCGATTTGGCCCATGCATTAAACATTGTAATATTTTACCGAAACTTGCTTGAATGTGCATCATATCAGTGTACTCGTTCACGGAACCTCCTCGTCAACAATTCTCATATGAAGATCATTGAGCATCCGATTTGATTAAATTTTTGCACGCAGTATTTATATTGCAAATATTTACTTTATTGATTCATTTGTTCGGAGACCACGCTCAAAAATGTAGAGGTTATCGCAAGTAGCACGTAGTAGATGTTATCCCTACTAGCATGTAGCCAAGCAGACAAATTTGTATCTGAGTTTCCGAATTTCCGAATCTGAACACGAGAGTAAGACTAGCATAACCATATTAGAATTTTGGAGAAGCTAAGAGGATAATAAGATGATGGAAGAAGTAAGGAAGGCATTGTTATCTAGGGCACAAAGCCGGAAACTGACCAGGATGAACTGGGGAAACAAGTGCGAACAGCAAACTGATGCCCAGAAGGAGAAGCCTAACATTCGCTCCACTTCCCCGGAAGCGGCGATGAGAATTAAGCCTCTAGAAGATCAGACAAATGCCAAATCCTCAAAAAATAGGTTATTGTCGGCTGATATAAAGATAAAGTGGAGCCAATCCAAAGTTGAAAGAGTCTGCCACGACAATCCAGTGATTGAAAGCGAAAAAGCTGACTCTGAAAAATTGGATCTGAGTTTCCAAATTTCCGAATCTGAACACGAGAGTAAGACTAACATAACCACATTAGAATTTTGGAGAAGCTAAGAGGATAATAAGATGATGGAAGAAGTAAGGAAGGCATTGCTATCTAGGGCACAAAGCCGGAATTTGACCAGGATGAACTGGGGAAACAAGTGCGAACAGCAAACTGATGCCCAGAAGGATAAGCCTAACATTCGCTCCACTTCCCCGGAAGCGGCGAAGAGAATTAAGCCTCTAGAAGATCAGACAAATGCCAAAAATAGGTTATTGTCGGCTGATATAAAGATAAAGTGGAGCCAATCCAAAGTTGAAAGAGTCTGCCACGACAATCCAGTGATTGAGGGCGAAAAAGCTGACTCTTATATCCAGATGACGTGAGGGGAATCCCAAAAGGACTAGCCGTTATTTACGAATTAGGAATAGGGTAACAACAATTGGGAATGACATCTTACAGAGATGAGCTCTTCAGTAATCGAAGAGAATTGTGTGTTCGACCCAACCTTCCGAGACAGGCGAGACTATCTGGAGGAAACTGGCCAGGATGAACCGTATAAACAAGCGCAAACAACATGGGGACGTCTGACAATTCGAAAGCGTCGAGGAAGATTAGGTCTCAGGGAGAGTATGTGGATGTCAAAACCGTAAAATAGAAAGAGAGCTTCTCGTGGGCTGATGTAAAGATAAAACTGAGCCAACCCAAAGAGAAAGATATAGTATCCAGAAGATGAGATGTACATCGGCATTTTCCCTAAAGGACTAACCAGATTTTACGAAAAAGTTGGAAAATAACAACAATAGCTGAGGAGCCGCCATCTTATCGAGACGAGCTCTTCCCTGTAGTGAAAGACGAGAACTTTAGGTAAACTAGAAAAGGAGGCCTGTAAGGAGGTGATGGATTCGGTCATTAACAAGATCATGAAGCATCTGATGCAAGGTGAATCTGTACAGCTGCGAATATAAGGTTGAGTCTGCGAGTTTACATCAGAACGAATGATCAAAGTCTTTGGTCTGCAGAACAAGACACTGTTAGTGAAGAAGTTTGACATCTTCCATAGATAGGAGAACGAAGAGCGGACTCTCCTGGTGGTAGGCGTGGACAAGTCATCAAAGGTTTTACTGACCAATGCTGTCTTCCTTATGATTGGGAATTTTGGAGAAGCTTAGAGGCTATTAAGATGATGGAAGAAGTAAGGAAGGCATTGCTATCTAGGGCACAAAACCGGAAACTGACCAGGATGTACTGGGGAAACAAGTGCGATCAGCAAACTGATGCCCAGAAGGATAACCCTAACTTTCGCTCCACTTCCTCGGAAGCGGCGAAGAGAATTAAGCCTCTAGAAGAGCAGACAAATGCCAAATCCTTAAAATGATGTTATTGTCGACTGATATAAAGATAAAGTGGAGCCAATCCAAAGTTGATAGAGTCTGCCATGACAATCCAGTGATTGAGGGTGAAAAAGCTGACATATCCAGATGACTTATCGAGACGAGCTCTTCCATGTAGTGAACGACGAGAACAGACGTTAGGTAAACTAGAAAAGGAGGCCTGTAAGGAGGTGATGGATTTGGTCATTAACAAGATCGTGAAGCATCTCATGCAAGGTGAATCTGTACAGCTGCGAATTTAGAGATGAGTCTGCGAGTTCTCATCAGAAGGAATGCTCAAAGTTTTTGGTCTGCAGAACATGACACTATTAGTTAAGAAGTTTGACGTCTTCCATAGATAGGAGAACGAAGAGGGGACTCTCCTGGAGGTAGGCGTGGGCAAGTCATCAAAAGCTTCACTGACCAATGCTGTATTCCTTATGATTTGGAAAGGTAGGAAAAAAACTGCGGATATGACCGACTCGGTAGGATTTATTATAAGAACCGTATCGGACAAAACCCCGCAAGCTTGCTCTGTCGCAAGTGTAAATATCACCATTCCCTCACGCACACTTAATTGGAACAACTGTAAAACCAACGAAGTGGAAAAATCTTCAATGCTGCCAGAATGCCGCCCTAATGACTGCAACAGGGTGTCTCTTCATGATTCCAATAGATCACATACATGATCTAGATCACTCCAATAGATCACATACATGAGACGAAAATCCTTCATGTGTGTCAACACAATAATATGTTGTCGATGCAATACCTGCTTGGGTGTTATATAAGAAGCCTAATGGATAGTCACCCACTATCTGGGCATGTCAGGAAGGATCTCCATGATCTGGAGATAGAGGTCCAACGATACGAAAGGGAGCATCTAGAACAATAGGCCCATAAAGCTGAACTGAGTCGTATTCACACGGATTTAGTTGGAGAAGCAACTCTAGAATATCGTGTGAATACGAGCCTCGGTGATCACCCGCCTGCGACAGCTACAGAAGAGCAGCAGCTACCCTGACAATCTGGATGGTGTAGCCGCCTCAATTCTTATTGGGTAAAAAATTGAAGGCGCGGTTAATAATATCAGCCCGGCATGTGGTAATGGTCCACATTACACGCTACACCAACTGTCAGCTAATCCCACTCATCTAAACCCAATTTCACAGTAGACACAACCAATATAGGTCGTAGCTTTTTTGAACTTGCAGTTAGAACCATAACCAGCAGGAGAAATACATAGCAGAACAAGCTGCTACAACAACAAAAACTGTAAAACCATTGACACACACACACACACAAATATGTGAGAACGCAAATTCTTACGCTCTGCCCGATGCTGTATTAGAGGGAAATTGATTGAAGCCTCCATCTACAATGGTTCCGATTATACTAATCAAACGTACCTTGGAATATACATGGAAACGGCTTACAGCCAACGCCGAAACCCATACACTTTTGAAATAAGTCTAACACTAATTGGGTTAATTTCAGAAGACTGATCAAAGAAAGGTTAGGGCAACCCAACTATGACAGTCAACTTCCACGCTAAACTAATATTAATAATAACAGAAGGGTCCAGGTCTTTCTAGAGTATATGAATGCCAACGACCTTTAACATAGGCAATAAAACAACTTTTGTTAATAAAGTTAGAGAGAATTGTATAAGTTCGAAACATTGCTTACGGCAATGTTTATGTTCGATACATTGTTTCCCCTTCTACAGCATTAAAATTAACCACTTTAATTGACCGCTCTTCGGAACCCAGTGGGGAAATCTTCTCTGCATATCTTCCAGGAGCCTCATTCACCTAGTTCGGATTGTAGGGGAGAGTTCGCTCTCTTCTACTATATCTCCTGGAAGCCACATTCGCTTAGTTCGGATGAAGAGAGGCGCTTTCCAATGCTGTGGTCGTAGTTGTTGATCACGACCTTGCTGCAGTTTCTTGCCCATCGCAACATCACTTGCAATCTCGCTATCGTTGATTAAACTTGTTTTCCATATCTCGTTGGTTAAACTGGTTTTCTCGGACGCACGCCTTAAGGTAAAGTTTTGTTTCTTTCGAAACTCAGTAACCTTGCCGAAAAAGTTTGAAATTACATTTAATACCCAACTTGTTGTATTTTATTTTATTTTTCTTTTTGGGTTTTCTCCCCCTCATCGGTATCACGCCAACAGATATAATAATATTTTCAGCGAACCTTATAGACGAGGTTCAGGAATTGAGTATCTCGCAAGAGTACTCTGAAAACAGATTTATTAGGTTTAAAACGGAATACGGCCACCGTCGCAACTCATATACTTCCGAAACAAATTCATAACTAATTAGGTAAAATTCGAAGACTAATTAAACTAGGACAACCTAAACACGGATAACAGAGACAGGATTGTCAACAATCAAGTGGAAACAATAATACAGTACTTCGAAGAGA